ACGAATAGAGCAAGGTCCATGAAGCTTCAGAAAGTATAACTGTGCCATCAAAAACAACTAGTGTAGAGAATTTAATGCACATGGCAGTCTAGTTGAATAGTTTATTGCCTGGTGGACAAATGCTTCTTACTATTTCTGTACGCTCTTCCATTCAGAAAAAAAAACAAAGATGCAAAGGCAAGAGATAAAAACAATAGTCTACCAGATTATAAACTGTTCATATAGACTATTATAAAAGTTAAACACATACATGCACTCTTCCCGATCATCTAATGCAAGTCCAAAGATCTTGCCGGTGACAAATTATACAATTAATTATTTGATTAATTGTATAATTATATTAATTATTTAACTGTTTTTAAATTCGTGTATGTAGAAAGCTATTAATTATAAAATTAAATTAATTGTATAATTACCATATTAATTATTAAATTGCTTTTAAATTAGTGTATGTTGAAAACTGTTTCCTAAGTTGCCTAGTCTTTTACACTTGTATTTCATACTGACTGCCTTTCAGTTCAATATTTTATTGAACATCTACTGTATGTCACACTCTGTTCTGGGCAGTGGGGATATAAGTTACAAATGGCCTCCGATCTTGAGGCGCTTGTAATGAGTTTGTGAAGAAGATACTGTATATGTAATTTTAATAAAAGGTGGTTGAATTATACACAGTGGCACCTATCTGTAGTCCCAGCTACTTGGCAGACTGAGGGAGCAGAATCTCTTGAGCCAGGAGTTCAAGGCCGTAGTGAGTTGTAATCGCACCTGCGAATAGCCACTGCACTCCAGTGCAACACAGCGAGACTCTGTCTCTAAAAATATAAGTAACTAAATTAAACGCTGGTTGGTGTAACAGCGATAGAATACTCAGGTTAATGCTGGAACATGGAGTGGAAGCATGAAAGAGGGCAGGGAAGGTTTCCTAGAGCAAATGATGCCTCAAATGAGGCCTGTAGTAGGTCAGGCATTTAACCAGTGGGAGAAATATTTCAGGCAGAAAGAAGAACAGGTGCCTAAGGCACAGAGGACTGAAACAGCATGATGGACACTGCCCAGGAGAGGGGTGGCTAGGAACCCCAGGCAACTTTGCATTTTTGGAGATTAAATGAGAAGCAGACAGTAACAGAAGTCAGGACATAACAAATTCTGTGTGACATCCTGGTGTGCAGGTGGCCAGATGCCACTGAAAGGTTCAACTAGAGGAATGAACCAGACAGATCTGGGTTTGAGATTCATCACTCTGGCAGCTTATGGCACAGGATGGGATCTCAGAAGGTGAGAAGTCAGGGGCTACTTTCTATAGCCCAGACTCTTCAGTGTCACTATCAGGAATGCAACCATTCCTGAAAGTCTATTAAAGAATGATTCTGGGGGTGCCATGAGATCAGCGGACCCAGAAACAGTTTGGAACCTCAACTGGACCACTGGGCCATTTAAGGTCTCTCCCCTGGCAACTCCCCTGAATCACAGATTGCTTGGATAATGGTTGTTTGTATACTAGCTGCCTCTGACAAGCTCTAAGGTTTAAGTGGGCAAGCAGATCTTTTCCTCCATCGATGTTTGCTTTTTAACTCAAGCTCTGCAATAGAAGCTATTAACAAATAGCAGAACAGAACCTGTCAAATACATAAGTTCAATTTGTTCTTATGTCTCCTCCTAACAAATAGAATTTGGGATACCACAGGCTTTTGTTGCCTTCACTTTTTCCTAATTTAACATTTAAAAAATGTAAACTGGGCAGGTAAGGGAGCACCTGAGTAAATAAAATGCTTTCCAGCTTTGTCTATGAATAATTCCCTACCTGCCTTACAGGTTTTTCTCAAGTTGCCTCAGGGGAGCCCAGGGGCTACAGTCACAGTAGGCCTAGGAGTCTGAGCTCCTTTCCAATTCTCTGCAACTCCTCTTCACCCACCCCAGCCCAACAACTCACAGCCAAGAGCTAATGTAAGAATTTCCAAAACAACACATAAATAGCCTTCATTCTCACCAACTGAAGATCTCATTTCTTATCTCACTCTTGGTCTTACATCTCTTGCTTGGCTCTGATTTTTTTTGCCTTCCCCTCTTTTATGTTTACCATCCAAAAAAGCTAAAATTAAGCATTTGTTCCCAGTATCCACTCTCTGAAATATTATTTTCCTGCCTGTCATCAAAACCTTCCTTTTCCATAGCCAACCTAGCAAAATCTCACCTTCTCCATTCCCAGGCCATTTCCAGCCATAATAGCCCCTTTTCTTGACTTAATTCCTGTAATCACGGTTATTCATTTTGTAATAATTTCCTGCAATGTCATCTGAATTAGCTTATACTTTTTTAAAAGCCAAAACCTATGCTTATACATTCTCAAGTCCTATCTGTGATGCCTACAGTGACATGCCTGGAGTGTGGGCTCAGTAAACCTCCATTGAACAATCTCACTTGGACACTCACATAAATTTCTTCAACCAGTATTTTCATTCATAAAGATAACAGAAAGGCCCTCAAGAGCCTCTGTAGGCAGAGACTGAGAGCATTTCCCAGATTTATTTAAAAGGAAAATTCAAGGCCTAAAAAAGGTTAAAAACACCTGCCCAAAGGTAAAAAAAAATGGCTGAGCCAACAATAGGACCATGACTGTCCCCACTTTACAAAAGAAAATACTTAACAACTAAACACCATCCCCTCTGACAAAGTTATCCTTACCTGCAGCTCAAGACTAGTCTGCACTGAGAGTACTATATATCTACACTGTGCTTCAGAGAACCCAAAACATCTGATAATGCTGAAGTCTTTCGTATTGGTTATGGAAATGAATGATATGATTCTGGGACCAATAATTAATCTTTTAACAATGTGAAAGAGTACTGACATATTCCTCATGTTTGGAGAAAGCCTGCCTGGGACAGAGTCTGACAGGGCAGATGACCCACCTACATATAATCAAGAAGTTGATAATATATCATGTCTTTGGAAAGTGGCACAGAATACTAAATGGATCATATCAGAGTTACCCCAGCAGAAATGATTATAATCAAAGGTATTATGCACAAACAAACAAAATGGGGCTGGGAGCAAAGATTATGTAGTAAGATAGACTTTCTCAGCCTAATGAAATGACCGGAGCTGAAAATGTTCTCAATTACAAACATATGCCTGCCAGGCACGGTGGCTCCCACCTGTAATCCCAGCACTTTGGGAGGCCAAGGTGGGTACACCACACAGTCAGGAGTTAGAGACCAGCCTGGCTAACATGGTGAAACCCCATCTCTACTAAAAATACTAAAATCAGCCAGGCATGATGGCAGATGCCTGTAATCCCAGCTACTCAGGAGGCTGAGGCAGGAAAGCTGCTTGAACCTGGGAGGTGGAGGTTGCAGTGAGCTGAGATCATGCTACTGCACTCCAGCCTGGGCAACAGGGCAAGAATCTGTCTCAAATATGTGTGTGTGTGTGTGTGTGTGTGTGTGTGTGTGTGTGTGTGTGTGTATATATATATATATATATATATATATATATATATATATGAGATTATGTACTAATGGATTTTTTAAATGAGCACAAATAAATTAGTAATCATACATGTACTAATATACAAATATATAATGTACATTTTAAACACAAAACAGAAACTTGTAAAAGGTAAAGACAGAAACAGACCTTCTAAAATATTCTTCCTACACCCAATGGACTACTGGGCTCATTCCTTAGGATTTGCCACCTCACTTTGGAGCCACTGCTTTAAAATATTTATAAAAGTGCAAAGCCAAACGTTATTACTCTGATTATCTGGAAAACTCCAAAATTACTTTCTTCCCTAAACTAAATAAAACATATGTGCCCTAAGGTCCATAGCAAATCCATTAAAATTCTAACAGTAAAAAGTCAGAGAATGCACAAAAAAATCATCTAAGGTTCATACTGGATAGTAACAAAAAGCTACAAAATATAAACGGCTCAGAAGCGAATTGGTTTTGTTCGTTTTTGATCTGAACTGTGTCCCCTATAATTGTGATTTACATGGTCAGTGCTTTAACCCATGTGCTATTTCCGGCCACAGGAAGGAACTGGGTATTCATTAAAAAGCTGTCATATAAATAGCCACTTACCAGCTCACCTGGGGAGTGCAATGTTGGGCAAGTAGTAAAGAATGCCAATTTTATTTAGTTTACTACTTGTAAACTCCCTAAGGAAAGGGGCGGGCTAGTAAATTTTCTGAACATTCAACCCTTAATTATCCACACAGCAGATCAGAGAAGTCAAAGTAGTAATCAAAAAAATTTCTATAATCACTTTGTAATGAAGACATATATTCAGGTACAGTCAGGCATTTTTCATTAAATTACACAAAGACCACCAGCCCCAAAAAAGTAGAGCACAGAGGTCAAACACATGGATTTTGGAGTCAAGGGACCAAAGCCTAAGTAATGGCTGAGTAACTTACTAGTTGTATAACCTTAATCAAGTTATTTAACCTCAGTAATTTTGCATTTCCTCATCTGTAAAATGAGGAAGCTAACACTAGCTACCTTATAGGTTTGTGGAGAAGATTAAATGATATAAGGCATTTGAAGTACTCAACAGAGTACTTGGTAAATGTTTAATAAATGTGTATTTTAGTATTATTAGAGCTTAAGAACTGGATGGAAATCAGCAGGGAAGAGAGAAAGAGAGAGGACATAATTATGGTCAAGTATATTGCAAAGCAATATAAAAGGCACTTTAAGGAACAACTGCTGTTCTTCTAAAAATATCCAAGGAACAGGCATGTACCCTAATTGCTTTTGAGAAAACCATGGTTTTTGACCCGTTACCTGCTCTAGGAAAGCAAGAAGAAAAAGTTACTTTTCTTCCTATCTGAAAGAGTTTCCCTCCCTATGTTTCTAGAAATTTAGTTACCTATCACAGAGGTAGGAAACCCTGATTCAGTGTGATGGAGGCCCCTGGGGCTACTGAGACTAGCAAAAAAAAAAAAAAAAAAAAAAAAAAAAAAAAAAAAAAAAGTGAAATTCATACATTACCTGTGCCCAGTGGTTTTTAAATACAATCATGCATGTTTCTGGGTCAACTCCCTGTAGGCTCACAGCCTGCTGGAGTTTGCTTTCTGTCGAAACTGATGACATCATAAACCTTCATAAATCAATGCTTCTAAGTCATATTTAATTTTCATTAAAATTTGGTAAGCAGTCACTAACTTTCAAGTTCGAGAAATGTAACTTCTTTGCATTTCATTGTCACCTTCCAAAACCTGTAATGGCAATAACAAAAAAATTAATTTTACTATGTTTATAAATTAAAAAGGACACTGCCTATTAAATTTAAATCAAAGCATAGACATTCTCAAAGTCCAACACAGAAAAAAAAATCTACAAAACAGATATTATACTCAATCTAAAGGCTCTTCTATTTTCTCCCACTTTGCTACTAAAAATACAAAATAATAATGCTGCCTAAGCTACATGAATAAATGAAACAATTATTGGGTTTCTTCTCTCCACTATAACCAACCATAGCCCCCAAAATTACTATTCTAAATTGCTCAAATCTAGTTTCTAGAATCAAGTGAGAAACTATTAGGTTGGTCCAAAAGTAACTGCGGTTTTTGCCATTGAAGTTAATGACAAAAACCACAATTATTTTTGCTTCAACCTATTATGATAACAATGTTTGCAGAGTTTAAAAACACCCAGTAACAGGAAAAGCATGAGTTAGCAGCAAGACAGACAAATGGCTTGATGTAACTTGGGGATGGTATTATAAAACAGCACCCAGATTTCTGAGTCTAATATGATTGAATATTTTTTTAAAATCAATGGCTGCCAGAATTGAAAGGATTCTCAATCATTTTTTGGCTATAAACTAGGTTAAAGTTTCTAGCTCGTCTGAAAAATAATAGAATTCCAAGTAACCTTGACAAATCAGAGATAGAAATGATCCATCAAAAACAAGATATTGTTTATTAGATGTGAGTGCAAGGTAGCACACTTACAAATGAAAAATGAAACACAGATAAAATACGAAGAAATTCTGACTACAAGAGAGCAAGTAGGGGAAAAAAGAAATTGGGGTCATAGAGTGTACGGTGAATATGATCCAGTTGTGTGGCGCTAACTGACGAAAGCAGTAAGACAGTGGTATTGTCTCACTAGTTTGATTAGCCCATAAAAGGACTGGGTATAATTCAAAATATTATTTTTTTAGTGTACAGATTGGGAAGAGTTCAGAAAAAAAGTAATTACCAGAACCCTGGAAAACAAAAGCCATAAAAAAAGTTTGCAGACTTGTAAGACCAAAAGAAAACAAGGGGTAGCCATTTTCAACAGAGTAATATGAAGGGTGTTACAAGGAGAACACCAATTGGCTGTTCCTCCCTACAAACTAAGATGGGAGGAAGTGGGCTTCAGAGGAGACTTAGGGGTTAAGCTCCTTGTGGGAAGTAGAATTAAACACTGGAAAATAGTTAAAGAGTATTTAAAACAGCACTTCTGTTAATAGGAGGGCAACTATTCAACATGAAAGGTCTTAGAAAGAATTTTTAGGATATAAGAGCAGAACGCTTCCAAAAATAGTTCTGAGAAAAGAAACATTTTTTAAGAAGAATGGAAGAGGATTAAGGTATACAGAAAGGACAGCCTATTAGAAGAAGTACACAAATCACATACTCAAGGAAAATTGCCTGTGTGTTTCTTCTATAACTGTATTTTACTATTAAAATTGAATTCCCCAAACTAAAATTCCAAATAATACAAACTTGTTTCAAATGGACATCGTTCACTGCCAACCATGGCCCTTTGCTACTATAGGGTCGATCTGGTGTTTCAAAAATCAGGAGTGGCTACCCACATATGCAGAGTCTGCATTCTCCCGTCCCCACAGTCCCTGCCACCACTCCCTGTGATCTTACTGCCAGAACTTTCACCTCATTCAGGTTACCTCACTAGCCTTTATAAGGATTTACATTTACAGCCTTCTTTTAAGTGATAAGAGGCAAAACAAGATTCTGAATCAACTTCCTCATTATTCTACACACTACATTTCTGTGAAAATGTCAAGGCCTTCTATTTATGTTACATATAGATAATAATGAAGAAAATCAAAGTTTTGGGTTATCCCAGGGATTGAAAAACTCTAAGACTCAGATTCCTTCCAGCTCCAAAATTCAAAGATTCTTCTTCAAAGGTATGAAACAAACATACATCATGCCAATTGCTTCTAAATCCAAACAGAAACACATGCTAAGATGCTTTAAGTTCGTTTTCAAAAGGAATTTACATGCAATCTTCTCAGAAATGGCAAGAAGACAGTATATACAGGATAAACTGCCACTGTCATGAGCTTACTAGTTTCCTGTTGTTGCTGTTTGTCAGTTGTTGTTGTTGTTGTTTTAGAGACAGGGTCTCGATCTGTCGCCCAGGCTGAAGTGCAGGTGGCATCATAGCCTTGAACTCCTGGGCACAAGCAATTCTCCTGCCTCAGTCTCTCGACTAGCTGGGACTACAGGCATGTGCCACCACACCTGACCAATTTTTTTTCATTTTTTGAACAGACAGGGTCTCCCTATGTTGCCTAGGCTGGTTTTGAACGCCTTCTCTCAAGCAATCCTCCCGCTTTGGCTTTCCAAAGGGCTAGGATTACAGGCATGAGCCACCATGTGCAGCACAAGTTAGTTTTGTTAGAAAGAGAATATAAATCTCTGTATTCCTATTCCAAGGCTCTTTCCAGGAAACTATATTCTCCTTTCTAAGGGCTATAATCTCTGGCCCTGTTTTCTAAAGGAATTTGTCACTCTTCTAAGAAAAGTACATCTCATTTGGTTTATTCATATTGAACATACTTTTGAAGCAGATGCCTAAAGAATCAAAATGTGTCATGAATGCAGAAACTACAATATAAAGAACACTTGAGAGAAGAGAAAGAATGAGGCAAGTCAAACAAGCTAAGTTTGAGAAGGAAACAACTATGCCAGATGATCCTACAAATGAAAATACTACCCAGCACACCCAGAGAACAAAAAGTTGGATATTTTCATATTCTCTCTCTCTCTCTCTCTCTCTCTCTCTCTCTGTCTCTGTCTCTCTGTCTCATTCTATGTTACAGTATTAAAACACTGGCATGTCAACAAGGCAGTATATTAATAAAACTGAAAGAGATAGATCCATATTTATGACAGATATATAAGGGCATATTTCCTCAAGCACCAAGGTTTTGCAACACACTGCATTTTCCTGTTATCGGTCTTTACTTTTTTCCTTTTTTGTAGCCATTCCAAGCTTTTTATTAAACTCTCAAATCACAGCTAAAAGTCCCAAATGAAGAACAGAGGACAGAATGAAGCCAAAAGCTCTAAGTAGGTAAAAGGGCTGCAGTCACTAAATGTGAGACTGTCATGAATATGACATCATCAGACATTTTTCCTTTCTTTTCCTCTGCACTCTTCAGTCTAAGGTATATGATGCTGAAAATGTTTTGAGTAAACCCTGCCACTCTTGGTACACAACCAGTCTGTTCTTCCCGTAAATACATACATGTACATTGACTCAAGTTTCATGCCTTAGACAGAGCTCTACAAACCATTTAGATGCCAAGGAGTGATATTTTTAACCTTTCTTTAAACAAACCACCAACACAAAAAAATGTCCAAAGAACTCTGCAACAGTGGGTGCATGTGGGTGTGTGGTGTGGTTGAGTTTTTTAGTTGGAGGAATGGGCAAGAAAGAGATGAGCTGTCAAAATATATATACACAGCTTGATATTTCAGTATAAATTCTATACTGCAAAGATAGAGCTGACTATAGACATTATTAAGTGGCCATATTTATATCTCATTAATATAATTAATATAATACTTTCCATCAATAAGGAAAAAAAATTCTATTAAGTGTTGTTAGGGATAACTGGCCTAAGAATTATATCTATTTTTATTTGCTTTTTTCAAAAGCATATTTTTTTATTTGACTATGAAAAAAGCAAAGCATAAGCTTCCACATTACAGAATTATAAAATATACCATATAATCATAAAAGTTCAGATTCTAACCATCTAAATCACATCTCTTTCCCAATGTGAAAATTTCTTCATTTTTTTCCAATGTAAAAACTTCATTCTCAGATAGAAATCTTACCCAATTGCAGACTCTTTGGAAAACTACAATAATTAGAAAAGCTAAAAATATGTCAAAATCACACTTTTTCCTGAACTATCAATAACTCTATTTTTTATATATCCTTCTCTCACCATCACACTAAACTCAAATCATAAACATTGTGGCATTTATTTAAATACTATCTCATACAATCCTTCAATTATTTTATCTATTTAAATAAATATCCTTTAATAATGAATTTTTTTTAATTCTTTTTTTTTTTTTTTTT